TGCGCTGAGGGGCAGCGATGGGGGGGGGTGACTAGCCCAGGGGGGGGACAACGACCTGGAATCGGCGATACATCGCTGACAGATCGGAGACAGGCGCCCGATAGCGACTCCGCATGTCCCTGGGCAGGGTGGGGCCATCAGGCCCTTGTCGGCGATCGATCGGCGAGTGGGGGTCCTGGAATCGGCGATACATCGCTGACAGATCGGAGACAGGCGCCCGATAGCGACTCCGCATGTCCCTGGGCAGGGTGGGGCCATCAGGCCCTTGTCGGCGATCGATCGGCGAGTGGGGGTCGATGCAGCCTCCCCCCCCCCCGCCCGGTGCCTATCCCCCCCTTCTCGTTGCCCCTGAAGTGCTCTCTGTCAAGCGAGGTGAGATAAATTTCCAGCGCCGCTGGGACCCACAAGAGGAGACCGCAGCGGGCCGTGGCCGAGGAGGCAGAAGACCACCGCCTGCACCGCCAGGCTTGCGTAAGCAGGCCTGGACGCTCCGCTCCCAAACCGGCTGGGTAGCTTTAGGACGCAGTGCAGTGTTCGAGTAGGGGAGCGACTACAAACTCGATTCACCACAACATGTTTTCTCGCCGAGTCTACGAGACAAAGCACGTATAATGCCACATAGATCTAAGAACATGATACGCGTTTCTTATATGTTCGGTGGGGAAATATTTTTTGAGCGAATCAAGTATGTAGTCGATTTACCCCCGAATTGTTTGTCCCGCCGAGTCTGCGAAACAACACGTATAGTGTTCCGTAGATCTACGACGCGTTTCTTTTATATTCGGCGGGAAAACAAACTTCTGAGCAAATCAATTATGGAGTCGATCTCCTGTTCGAAATGTGGTGTGTCAGAGGTGGCAGGCAGGCGCCGGCTGTCGGCGCCTTCCGAAGTCCACGAAGATACCCTCCAGGTCCTGAAGGAACGATCTGCGAGCGGGGAACGACTACTGAATTGATGTGCCTCGGAATTGATTTTTGCCCATCGAACCTGCGAAACGTTCGTTCTATCATTCGTGTGTCCAGCGAGGAAAATAATCTTTGGGAACGCATGATTTCTGCAATCGATCCCCTACTCGAAGAGCTGGGGGAGCATGGAGAGCGGAGGCTCAGGGAGGGGGAGCAGGAGAGGAGTGCGCCAGCCCACCCGAGCCAGCCCCACAAGGGGCGAGGGCATGCCACGAAAAGAAGTTCACTGACACCCTGCGACGAACTCTGCACGTACCTTCAGGGAGGGCGGCCTTGTAAAGTCGCTGGCTCCTAGTGGTTATTCATACACCGCCATCAGTCCCTGAGGCCCAGGAATAATCCATTGGAGGGTGACTGTGTGTGTATGTATATCTATATCTATATATATATATATATATAGGTGCGTGTGGCTTTCTATATATATATGTATTTATGTATACATATGTATGTGTATATCTACAAACATATAAATGGGGTGAGAGGTCCAGCCATGAAAGTACGGCGACGGCACTGGTTCACGAACCATTGGATAAGCAATTCTGGGTCTGAGAACCTGGTGGAGAACCAATTGAGGCTTGGCCGTAGATTTGACCGCCACCATCATCCGGAAAGGAACCCTCCAGGGTCTAAAGCTTCCTGGGAACATTCCCTACCGAACGCCTCCGCCGTATGACAAACGAGGGCTCCACGCACCGGCTGCAGTGGCTCGCGGAAGGTCCTCGGGTCCCAGGTCTCGTGAGCAACCCTCGGCAAGCTCGCTGGGCTGACCCCTGAGATTCGACGTTGCAAGCAGAATTCCAACGCTGCGAAAAAAACCTGTCCCGATGATGTTGCGATTCTTGCGAGGTTGTAATTTTGCTTGCAGCATTGCCGACGTGAGGGGCAACGATAGGGGGGAGACTGGCATAAGGGGGGACGCATCGACCTGGAATCGGCAATACATCACCGACAGATCGGAGACATGCCACCGATAGCAAATCCCCACGCTCCTGGGCAGGATGGGGCCATCAGACCCCTATCGGCGATCAATGGGCGATTGGGGGTCGATGCATCCCCTCCCCCCGAGTCGATTCCCCTGACGACGTGGCTCAGAACACAGCGCCCCGTCTCTCTGCTCCGAAATTCGCGCCAGATCGCGCTGCATGTGAGACGGCCGCAAGCCCCGAGCCCAGGCGCAAAATCGCACGGCGCGAAGGAAATATGCAGCGCCCAGCTATCTCAGGGGCGTTTGCCTGCGCCGGGATTAGGCCGAAGCCAAGACGAGAGACACATCGGGTGTGGATGTATCGGGAATCTCTAAGATCCGGAAGATATTCGGAAGATGTCTCGGGCGCCGCGGCCATCTCAGAGTGTTCCAGAACGCTCTGGGAGCGTCGTCCGACAATATGTATGTGTGTGTGTGTGTGGGTGCGTCTGCGTCTGTGTGTCAGGAGGCTACGACGATGTCTGTGTGTATGACTGCGTCTGTGTGTGCGATTGTGTGGAACAGGTGCATTTTCGCCCTAGCTCCGTCCGAAGAGTCCTGCAGCGAGGTGACGTTGCCTCGTGGCCCAGCCGGCCACATGCCGCCGTTCATGGAGGCGATCAGCGCCACCGAATCCACCAGCTGCTGGAGCGGCGTGGCGGGCCGTGGACAGCTGCTCAGGAAGACGCACCGCTCGTGGGCTGCAGTGTCGAAGGCGCTCACGAGCTGGGACCTGAGCGCGGTGCATGTGAGCGATGACAACGACGGCAAGGAGGTGCAACGACGACGACGACGACGACGACGACGACGACGACGACGACGACGACGACGACGACGACGACGACGACGACGACGACGACGACTGGGAGGAGGTGAGGGGAGGGGAGGAGGAGGTGGAGGAGGAGGAGGAGGAGGAGGAGGAGGAGGAGGAGGAGGAGGGAGGAGGAGGGGGAGGAGGAGTGGGAGGAGGAGAAGGAGGAGGAGGAGGAGGAGGAGGAGGAGGAGAGGAGGAGGAGGAAGAGGAGGAGGAGGAGGAGGAGGAGGAGGAGGAGGAGGACTCGCAGTTGCGACGCCGGCCCTCGGGCCGCGGTAACACCCCGGCGCGGTCAAGCAACCGCCCCGCTGGGCCAACGGCTGCCGCGCCAGGGGTGCCGGACGTCACCGCGGTGCGGTCCGTCCTCCCCCCCGAGGATGAGGCGAGGAGAAGAGGGGGGGGGAGGGGGGGGGGGCGAAGAGGAGGGGCGGGAGGGGGGGCACGGCGGGGCGGGAGGGGGAGGAGCACGGCGGGGCAGGGACGAGAGGCGGAGGGTGGACCCGCCCCCGCCGGGCCGCGCCGCGCAGGCGTTGGCCAGTAGCCGTGCAAGGCCACCGCGTCCCCCGCGGCTCCCACGAAGCCCCCCTGACGACGGCCTGGGCACCCCCGACGCGATCCCCGAACCCGCCCCGACGCCCACCGGGGAGGCGGCCAAGTGCCCTTCCGGCACAGGAAGTCACGGGCGGTTTTTTGCCGAGTTGCCAAGAACTCGGCAAAACACCGCTCGGGACATTCGCACCAAAATGGCCACCGACCCGCCACCGGGCGGCGTCCGAGAGGGTCCGGCGGGGGGGGTGGGCTTCTTTTTACATTGGCTCGTCCCTCAAGGCGTGCACGACTGCGGCCGCGATGGCGCCGACGAACCTCACCTTCGCCTCCACCTCGCGCACGTCCGCCGTGTCGCCCAGGGCCCACGCCGGCAGCCCTGATGGCATGGGCGGCTGGCAGGAGCACACTTCCTGGCGCGGCCCAGCGACGGCCGAGCAGGTGGCCAGGAGGTGCTGGAGGCCCGATTCGACGCCCCCGCACAGCGGGCAGGGCGCCTCGGGCGGGGGCGGGGGTAGCTCCCACGTCCAAGTGGGGACGTCGTTCGAGACCCGCGCCACGGACCAGGCGCGGTGGAAGCGCCACACGGTGCGGCCCCGCGGCGCCCAGCGGAGCGCCTGCGGCCAGGGCTGCCGGAGGGGCAGCAGGTCTGCGAGGGAGACAAGCCCGTCGTCGCCCAGACGCGCCACCTGCTCCGTGAACCACTTGGCCTCCGTGGCCGGAGTGGGAGGAGGAGGAGGAGGAGGAGGAGGAGGAGGAGGAGGAGGAGAAGGAGGAGCAGAGGGCCCGGCAGAGGCGCTGGAGCCGAGGCCTTGCCATGAGGAGTTCTGGGTCTCAACACAATGTGGATACAGACCGAGCGGTGACCTCGAAACCCCGAAAGAACTCACCGCACGGCTTTGGGACCTTGGGGGTACTGGTTGCCCGCGGAGAACGACCCAGGTCACTCGGTCACCCCAACATCGAACCCAATTCGTTGCCTGGAACAGTGCGGTCACCGCGACTTCCCACTGGCTCACCACATGGTGTGGTCACTGATTTCGGGAGCGTTCAAAGACATGTTGAGACGAATCGCCATGACATCTGTGGGGTCTCATGGTCCGGGCCATGATGTCCTCCCCCATAATCATCAGCCCCCTCATGGTCGCCCCCGACGGCTCGTAAGCGGCATGCGCGCGCAACAAGGGCCGCCCGAGCCTAGGCACATGCCTCCGCTGTGCCGCGCGCGACCAAGGACCCGGTGTGTGAGCTTGGGCAGGGCCCGACCGTTCTGGCATTCCGGCCTCCCGCGACATGTTCACAGAGCCCCAACATGTTCGAATAACCTGCTCTTAGATAGCAAGCCCGATGCACAAAAACAAAACAATCCCTGCCAGAAACGCTCTCAAAACTCTAAATAAAAACAGGCGGGCGTGGTCTCACAAGGCCGGCTGGGCCAGAACACTTTGGTCGATATGATAGAAAGAAAACATTAAGGTTGCCCCCGCTGTCTCTGTCTGTGCCTGTGCCTCTGTCTCTGTCCCTCGCTCGAAACTCTCTGTCCTCCCCTGCGCCTCCGAGCCGCAACTGGCACGAGGCCCAAGCACGGCGCGGG